AGCGCACCTTCAAACTACATCTTCAAAAACAATATCTGGGGTCCTACACATCCTAAACAACTATGCTCGGTGAGTACTGTGCTTTAGTTTATCTAAGAGGGCACGGAAGCGAATCCTGCAATCTGATTGGTTCTTAGCGCCCTCCGGATTTTCCTATCACGGTAACCGGCGCGCGCGCGATGTGTGTGTGGAAAAGGTCAGCAATTATTAAAGTGATTTGAGAGAGAGGAAGAACTAAAGAAGTCATTTACCGGCTTAGGGTCGGTCCGTCCGATGTAGTGAAAAACTGTGACCTCGGACTTGAAAATGCTGCCCTCGGCCTGCGACCTCGGGCAACATTTTCAAGAGCTCAGTCACACACAGTTTTTCACTATACGGCCGACCCTAAGCCAGCAAATAACATATATTTCAGTCAGGACACTCGAACCCTGAACACGACACATTTATAGGTACATTTCTTTCTGAATGACTGTAGAATGAGGACTCTGCAAATTAACAAATTTTACACTGTAAAAATGATATCTTGTATTTTTGGAAGACCCTCCATTCTATAGTCACCAGAAGAAATGCTCAAAAAAAGACAGTTTTATGATTCATGGTTAGAGACTGAGTGCCCTTACTGTAAAAGCCTACAGAATTTCTTTACATGTTTCTTTTCGATTCTTTTCTTGTCTTTACTCGTTGGTTTAGTTCTAATTAATTTAAGCAAACGACTGGCGTGTTCTGATTGATTCAGCCTCGTCATTCTGTTCTTTATGTAGGGCCAAGTCTCCGAAGGAAAATGTTGATTCTCTAAAACGGACGCGGTAAAAAGAGTGGGTAGTCGAGAACGCGCGCTAACCCCATAATCTACCGAGCTGTCTGTCTGTCTGTCTGTCTGTGTCTGTCTGTCTGTCCATTCTTTCTTCCGTTTTATTTAAGTTTCAACGCGATGAAATCTTTTTATTGGTACTTTTGCTTTATTTAGGAGTTCCAACGAGGAGTGTCTCGTTAATTTTTCGTTTTCTTTCCTCTCAGGGTGAAACTTTTCGTTCTTCGGTGTTTTGTCCTGTGTCAAATCACACATTAAAATCTTGGACATTCTGGGATCCTTGCAGTCATGGACAAAACCGACAGAGCTTATTTCAAGTCAACTCAGTCCACGGTACTAAATCTAAGTGCTAATTGTGTTCTTTCTTTATGTAGTTAGCATTGGAAAGGTCTCGTACGGTCTGTCTTTGATTGCTGGGTTAATTTGCCCTGGTCATGGAGAAAAACCCTTGAGAAAGTCTTGGAGACTGCTTGAAAAATTGCGAAAAGTCAAAACTCTCGCCTAGGCACTGATTAACTGTGTTTCTTCTAAACAACACAACAGAGTCAAGCTTGATTTGGGAACCGGCAGACAGTTTATTAAATATATATCCTACATCCATAGACTACTAGACTATTACAAACATGGATCAAAAAACTAACAAAAATCTGCTAAAAATTGCATGCTGCTTGCTGTACTTTGTTGCCAATTGCGTAGTATAATGGTACTGCTGACGTAAATTCACAAATCTGAATATATCCACATACGCCGCTATTGGTTCCCTATAGTCTTCTGACTATCATGCATACAGATTTCTCAATCGAGGAGAGACTTAAACCCTACCTGCCTCCTGATGAATATTCACAACAATCGAGAGGAGTACTTTCTATTTCTTAATCATTGAATGAACATGTGGGCCATTTAATAATAACTCCTTGATTAAGACAGTTGAAAATGCCTGTTTCTTAAATGGATCAAGTTCTTGATATTAAAACAGAACGGATTAGTTTGTTGACGTAACATTATCTAGCTAGGTCGAAGAGAAAGAGAACTCAACTTCAAGGGCAGAAATGAAAAGGAAAAGACCCTTCGAGCACAACCAACATTTTTCTGACCAAGGTTTCTTTAGGGTCGTTATGAAAACATCAGGAATTTCGGAGCAGTTAAATTCAGTAGACTAGCACGAATGTTTAGTTTAGTTTTGTTACTTATCAAGAGTATGTCAAGTAGTCTTAGCCGATGAAGCTCTAAAAGCAGAAAAACCACTTTATACCTTTATTAAGAGTCTTATATCCATTACTGAAAAATCCGAAATTTGTGTTCATTAATGATCTAAATATGTTGGGCTTTTAGTAGTTTTCGGCTGCCAATTGTTTATACACAACAGCAACTTATGCTCACAATGAGATTCCTTTGTTTTGCCGAGAGTGTTCGCAACAAAAGACTGAACACCCGTCTTTCCGCTGTTGTCATAGCAACAAGTACATATGTATGTCGATTTCACACCGTTTCAGTAGGTTGTATGACGAAAAACCCGAAAAAATTCACTCCAATTCTTTATCCAGCGTCCAATGTAAGTATTTGTGAATTGTTCATGGTATAGAATGTACTACTTCAGTTAGTCATAAGCCGTCTTGAAGTCTTTTGAAGAAGTCAGAAAGGCATTGAAAAGAGCATTTTATAATAGAGGCGCGCAAAATATGTCAAGTTTGGCGCGATGATAACGTAACTTCAACCATTTACACGGCGTTTTATCGTGGTTTGGTGATGACAAACATTACATTTCTATAACGTAAATATTAACTTAAAGACTGTAGTTAGCAAGGGAACTCAGGCATTGTCGAATAATGTAGGGGCTCTCTTTAATCTTTAATTACACGAATGCATGTGAAGAATGCCGGCATTAGCATGCTGTTTCCACACACAGATTGTCATCGTTGTTTGATCTTTGATTCCATTTGACTTCTTGATTTGTTTGTCGTGTTTGACGAAGCCACTGACCAACGGCAAGAACTACGATAACTACTCACTCTCCAACACAGCCCGTGCTCCAAATATTTGTTTGGTGGAGTAAATTTAAGATTCATCCGCGAACGTACTTGTAAAGAATTTTAACAACAAGATGAAGTGGCATTCTCGTGAAATGTTATTTTTAAGTGTATCTGCATGTGTTTTGGTACAACGGTATGATTTTCCATGCCAGTATGAAGTAGAAATGTCATATTAAATGAAGTTATTTCTCATATTCACTCGGTATAAGATAGTGGTATTTATTTCATGAACTAATTTCCATTGATGTTCCACCTCCAGTAGGTTACATTTATAGTGGAAAATTTTGTAGCGTTAGGACGTAAAACGGAGTTCACAACCTGACGTTGATTTTTACATACGCTTTAAAAGCATTAAGCTTATAAGTGCATGTACGTGTTTTGAATATCTTTTTTTCACAATTAAACCCAGGATGCCAAACTTCGATTTTCCAAACTCAATTTTTGGCATTTTCTTCAGATATATATAAGCTTATTTTATTTACATTTTACCAACAAAAATTTCCTGATCACTCTAGACAGCTCTCCATAAGAGCCTATGGTAGCCTATTTGGTGAAATACATTTAGGGATATGACAGCAGCTTGTTCACAAATATATAAATATTTTGAAGTCTTGCCGAGAATTTGAGCAAAATTTCAGGCGTTAATTGTGATGTTAAATGAAAGCATTCAGAGCACTAACTAGTACATCCGTCATTATCAGACAAGTGCCTTATTTTGTAAGATCATTATTGATTATTAAATATTGATCATCCATAAATTAAAGATATCCTAATGTGAACTTTCAATGAGATAACAAGGGAAATTGCCCAAAACAGGGTGAACACCATGTTTTTACCTGGAAAGCATGTTTTTTAAGTAGATGGATCATGTTAACTCTTGGTAGTATCGGCCAACACTATCAACGGATATATGGAGCGACACTAGGTCTATACATTGGCCAAGTATTGGCTGACACTCAACTGATACACATGTGGTGGATATATAGACCAACATTCAGTTCATTGTCGGGCTAGTATCAGTCAATTATGCTGGCCATTACTTGACCAACACACGGCTGACACACATATTGGCCGATGTATCAAACCATACTCGACCGACACCCAACTGATACTCGACTGACTGCCAGCCAATTGTCAATTGATGCTCCGCTGAGTATTGGTCGATAGTGTCAGTTGTCACTATCTAACAGTAAACATGATCCAATTCAAGTAGACAACTCATGATATTGACCTCTGACCAAATTAAGAATTTGAGTGTGTTGTGTTTCGTTGTTCACCTGATATTAAAAACACTCTGTGCATGGATCATTAATGTAGGGATGGAGTAAACCCAGCCCAGTTTGACTCAGGTTATCACCACCATAAAACCCAATGGTTTCATAATGGAAAAGTAGCTGGTGGTATGGCAGGAACAGGGCTTATGTATGGTTCAGAACCAAGAGATAAATTTAACTCTGCTGGTAAGAAAGAACCAATTTTTTTCTTACATCTTCAGTGGATTGCACCAGGGTTCTCATTAGTTTAAGGAGCAGAGGGCTAGTTTTGTGAAGTAGACATCAATTCAAGTGCCGTAGGGACAAGCCTCTAGGGAGGTCTAGGGGCATGCTCCCCCAAAAATTGAAATTGACAGACTCTGAAAATATGCTATTTTAGGCAATTTCTTGGAGATATTTCCTGAAAAAGAAATCAATTTTGGAAAAGGTCAAACTACCAAGAATATTAGGGGATGATAATTTTTTATTCTACAGCACTAGCATAATCCACCGTAGGAAAAAATATGGTGGCTGTACATTTTACCACAATACCTTGCGAACCTAACACAGCCTGTAAGGCACAAAGAAAGCCAAATTTTTACAATATTTGTCCCTGAACTAAGGGCATTGTGTATGCTAGGTTTGAGGATTTTGTAACCCTTCTGTGCGTTTTTATGAACATTGTTAAGGCTTTAGCTCGCTAAGAACTATGCGTAAATTTACCAGTCACCATCTTTTTTCCTACGGAGGATTTATAAAACTATGTTCCAAAGGACAGATCCCTTATATCTAAGTGAGTCTTCTAGTGCATTTAGCCAAAAAAATATAACAGGAGATAAAGTGTTGTTGTAGAATTGGTACCTTTTAGAGGTGACAAACATTTCAAGCCATGCCCACAAAACAGGATCTTGGTACCTCTTAGGGGTTCTTTTCAAAATTTCCGACAAGCACCCCCGTCCATTTTATATGGCAGTCCCCCTGGAGCGACATTATGCACCCCCATAGCTTGACATGAAGTGCATTTTGATTTTCTCAGATACCAGGTGGATCAGCAAGTAACAAGATGATATATGGTACAGATGAACTCCTTCACCAAGCCGGGTTAAAAGAAAATTATAATCCTTCTGGATTTCTTTATGGGACTGAAGCAGCAACTAAGGTTGGAAAGCCGGCTCCAGCACCTCGTCCAAACAACATGATCTGGCTGGAAGAAAGAACGTAAGAAATGAGTTGGAGGATCATGTGTGCTAAAGGCATCAGCGGTCGAGTGTCGATCGATACCCTCAATTGACTCTTGATCAACACTCAATCAATATCCTGATCGATACATGGTTGACACCCAATTGACATCTTGATCAACACTCAACCGACACTCAATCATTCAATCAACAGTTGGTCGATAGTTGGCCGGGACTCTCCACTGACTCATACACATCGATTGAAAATTAGTCAACTATCGACCAAGTGTCCAGCAAGATGTTGATGGAGTGTTCACCAAGTATTGATCAAGTGTTGATTGAGAGTACTGATCGAGGATATTGATTGACACTCAACTGCGAATGCCTTTAGTACACATGATCTGAGTTGGATATGCCAAGGCCAGATAAACCCTTTGTGCCAGAATTTTTTTTTAATGAATTGCAATTAATTTGTTGCTACAAATCTTTATTTCAGGGAAAAAGAAGCAGTTAAGAATAAGAAATTAGCCTCAACACAAGGTAGGACCTTATATGTGTTCTTGATTGTTGTTTATTGATGAAGTCTTTTTTGTAGTACATGGTGTTCCATGCTAATGACTGAATGCTATTTATTTTAATGTGCATTTAATTAATATTTTTTATTGTACTCAATTAATTCAGTAGACATTTAGATGAAGGTTTTAATTAACGTACTCACACTTACTTAATGTACTATCACTTGTCATGATGTATATTTATATGTATGTGGTATTTTGAATTTGTGTATGCTTTGCATTTAACTTTCTTTCTTGTTTGCAAACAGATGAATTTTTAGCAAGGCATTTGAAAGAGAAAGCAAGGATGCGACAGGCACAACAAGAAGAGAAGAGAAAGGTATTGTTCAGTCTATATTCAGGATATATTTTTTATTAATTAATCCTCTTGTGGACTTTGAATCATTGACAAGTCCTGATCAGTTTGGTTCCAGTATTGAATGTTATTAAGTGGATGTCCATATAAATATACGCTACATAATGTTTTACCTTCGTTATAAACACATTTAAAGCATATGCTTGAAACCTGCCATTTTTTCATAAATCTCAGGACTTGGAAGATCTGAAGAACTATGACCCTTGGGGACAACCAGGCGGAGGGGCACCTATTGTAAGTTGATAATATTTTGTAGTTTTGGTTAATAAGATTGCTTAATTGCCCTCTTTGCCATGTGGTGGGTCACATGGCAAAGTTTTAAGTATAGGGGGGAGGGTGAGAAGAATGACAATGATCTAAGGATGTGTGGTACAATACGATACGATAACTTTATTTAATATATAGTAACGTTATTTCCATCAGTCTATAATATTATTAATGTTGATGTGTGTATGTGTACATGTATATCTAACCAAATAAAGAATGTGAAGAACAAGTTAAATGTTAATTAAAATTAAATACATGTGTCTTGATGTAATCGAATGTGACTGTAGGAATAACTTGTTGAATTATACTTGCAGTACTATGATGTGAGCCATTCGGACCACTTGCTTCATTTCTTCTCTTTTAAGTATCTAATTAAGCTATTTTTTTTCTCAGACATTCCCACAATGTCTTTGTACAGTGTAGGTCTGATTTTCTTTTCTTTTGTTCATTTCAGACATCTGAGGTAATAACCAGTGGTTCCCATCATGTGGTAAATAAAATTTTTCAAAAGGAAACTTTGTTTCCCTTGCCAAGTGTTATTCATAAGTATACACAGGTAGTATTACTCTGGATTTTACTGCTGACTCAGTGATCTATGGTTTTGCTGTCCTGCAGCCCTCAACTTGCCAGATCATATGTACTAAAGGCATGCACGGTCGAGTGTTAATTGATACCCTCAATCGACACTCCATCGACACCTCCATTGACACTCCATTGATCAGTCGACAGTCAGTGAAGAGTCGACTAATTTTCGATTGATTCATATGAGTCGGTCGACACTCAAATGACTATCAACTGACTGTTGATCAGACAACAGAGTGTCGATGGAGTATTGATCGGGATGTTGATCAAGATGTCTCTCGAGGGTATCGATCAAGAGTATCGATCAACACTTGACTGCGGATGCCCTTAGTACACATGTATGATCTAACTTTCCTAATTAATTTAATTGTACTGTGAGTCTTAGGAGCTGCCAGAATTTCTACAGGGGTTCAAGGTGGGGTTGGACAGGGATTTCAAACAAAAACAAAAAATACATCCCATAATAGAAGTATAGGGATACTTCCTAAAAACAAAAAATTTACAAGTGCACTCAGTCAGAAAAAGTAAACTTTTAGCAGCTAGGAGTTTTGCCTCAGGCTGTATAAACATGGGAGTGGTCATATTTTTTAGGGATGATATTTATTATTTTGGAGAGTATTTACTAGCAGCTGTTTTTGTGTGTAACTGAACAAGTTAACACTGAAGTGTCTAAGTTATGTGAATGTAGTGCCCTTACATAGGTTAAAACATCAATGAATAATATTGCTTCCATATAATTTATTCTTAAAAACTTATTCTGTACTATAAATCTTTTCACAGTCTGGTAGTGATGAAAAACCTGACGCAAAAAGAACAAAAAATGTCAAGAACCTTGTTCAAGAGGTATGTAATGAACTTTGAAATATAGTGTGTTAAATCTGCTGCTAGTAACCATAACCCAAGTCTGAGTTCTCCTGAAGTGTATGTGGCTTATCTCTAAGAAGCCTAAAAATGGCCTTAAGGCTTCATTGTATGTCTAACTTATTAAGCTGGGGACAGTACTACAGGGTTCCTACTTCCTCCTTTATGATCAAGACAAAGTTTTTGTATTTTTTTTTTTTGTATGGGAAGCCTTATCAACCATTTGGAGGCCGTCAAGGTGGAGGAGGTGCTCCAAACAGAACAGAGTCAGGAAAAGTTGCTGCAGGTTTCCGTGCTGATCCTGAGCTTAGATTTCCGAGACATGCATCTAAAGCTAACGTGGAACCTGTTTTGGTGAGTATGGCGGTTCCACAAATTTACTTTGTTCCACCACTCTGAAGTTTATATTTAGGAAAATACCGCTAAGAGTATGAAATTTGGCTGTGGATGTGAATATCAGAAACGTCCAAGTGACAGTGACATACCAATTTACAAGCACTTTGAAATGATATTGGTTTGAAAATAGTACCCCCTCAATGTGCCCTTTACATAAGGTAAAGTCTGCATGCGAGCCAAGTGGCCCATCAGGCCGGAGCTTATCCCGGTTTCTGTAGCATGAAGCGACTAGGAGTATTTCTACTCC